CGCATCAACCTGAGGAAAAAAAGACCAAAAAAAAAAAAAATGAAATACTGACTTCTCTGTGTGTGTGTTTATCTCCTTGATGGACTAAACAGAAGTAAAAATAACAATACAACAAAATCTCACTTGATGTTGTTTTCCAGGACCATGGAACAGTGGATGCAGTCAAACGGTCCAGGGTTCTTCAAATGCTGGTCCAGGTTTTGTCCACGTACAGAACCATAATAAAAGTCCTCCACCAGTATCACCAGTTTGCCTTTGCCATTGGCAGCAGGGCAGTGGGGGTGGGGGCTGTGGGTGTCGGTGCAGCTGTCATAGTCATCGTCCTCTGGACTCTTCGACGGGAAGGTCTTTGACTTCAGAGGGAAGGGAAACGGCAGTGGAGAGAGTCAGACTGAGAGAGTCGGACTGAGAGAGTCGGACTGAGAGAGTCAGACTGAGAGAGAATCAGCAGGTTCTTCCACTCACCGTAGAACATCCTGGTGGATCTAAGAAGAACGTCTGCTTCTTCTTCTCCTTCTTTTCTGCTCTGCTGTTTTTCTTCTTCTTCAGTGTCTTCAGGCTCTCAGCAATGCTAGGGCAAAAGACCTGGTAGGAGAGAGGGAGAGGGAGAGAGAGAGAGAGAGAGAGAGAGTCAACATCTCAACAACAACTCCAGACCAGTTCCATCTGGAGGTTGACACTGAGGTCCCAGAACGACAGGTCACATGATCAGACTGTGTCTCTGACTTACACACATGAATCCTCTCAGCTGCCTGATGAATTTGTACCGAGAACTGCAGACGGTACAGTCAGGAGGAGACCTGTGTCCAGGCTCAGCTGTCAAATTGGGGGAGAAAAAAACTAATGTTTGACAGCAGCAGGTAAATCTGACCTCTGACCTCCAACCAACACTATACAGACACCAACTGACCACAGTGATGTCACCAACAACATCAGACAAGTCAACAACTGTCCTTCCGTCAAACCTTTGAGCCGTAGTTGTTCACCAGCTTCATCCAAGTCTTCCTCTTTTCTTGGCTTCTTGTGGGAGGCTGGCATCTCCTGCGATGGGGGCGTGGTCTGTTGGGGGGCGGGCCGCTTCTTGGGAGGAGTCTTCAGATTCACAGAAGGTGGATCAGAAGTGAAGTGGACACTATGTTGGGTCAGGACCTTCTCAGCTTCCTCACCTGACATCACACCTGCAGCAGACACGCCCACAGACATTAGCACACTCTGACTGGTTTACAGCAGCCTCACAAAGAGGTGAGGTGAGTGGGGGGTGTACCTGTGATGATGGGGGTGTTGGTTACATCGGGCTGAGGGTTGGTGTTGGCGACCTGCTGACCTCCAGCTTGTCCGTGGACAGTGGCGCTGACAGGGATCTGCACTGAAGTGGAGCCACTGGCCGAACCTTTGGGAGAGGTGCTCAGCTCCGGCTCTGTACTGCCATCTACAGGATCAACGTGGAAGGACATGATTGATTTGGAGCCACAAAGAAACTTGAATAGCAAATAACATGAGGCTAAACAGTGTGAGCGCCATCTGCTGCCCGGACCAGCCCAACACATGGAAGCTGTTGGACAGTGACAAAAACATTGATGTCAAATTAGAAATTAAGGGTTTGGGAAAATATCCATACATGATACTGTATCAATGTTCTGCAGCACTGTATGGATAGACACACACACGATCGAACTTTAGGTCAAGTCACCAAATGTTGGTGCTGCTGAGTAAAATCTTTACCATTACCCTCTTTTTTATCTGCCTGCAGAGACAAAGGCTTAAAATCCACCTGGTCTTCATCACACTTCATCTGCAGCTCAGCGTCGCCACCTGCTGGACACTCGACCTCCATTCTGTGGCAAATGCAAATCAAAAGTCAGAGACTTGAAGATTTGTTTATTCAGTGTGAATAATCTTCTTTAGTGTGTGGAAGTGGACAACGACCAGGATGGAGTTCACAAAAAAGGTCAAATAATGTCATTTTAAAGGTTGTTGAGTTTATGAACGTGTTTACAGGTGTTTGTAGAGGTAACCACTAATTAATGTTTACGAGTTAATGTTTAAATCCAATGTTTTGTTCAATTATTTTGGCATTAATAATTTTTCAGTAGGTTGTGCTAAGTACACATTTTAAGTCATGTTCCATAATTCACATATAATAACGCACTTTTATAGTTTTATATAAACCTAATTCTGTAAAATGGGTCAGAAAATATTCACAAAGAATTAAAGTATTTAGACTGTTGAAATGTAAACAGTGTATTAGCTGAATGTTAGTTACACAATAGTACCATTTAAAAAACTTTTATAACTTTAATGGTCACATGGTAGAAGACTTTTTTCTTTTAACACTAACATCTGTAGGCATATGTTGTCCCATCGCAAAATATAAGGAAGTTTAAACATATATTAGATGGTATTCCAGATCCTAGAGGATATGTGAATTACAGAAATAGCAAAATGCACATGTTGTTCTGTTTTCAACCGTGGTATCTGGATGGCAGCAAACTCAATATTAACAGATATGAAATTATTTTGTGTCAAGATGCCAAGTACGGACACTTTAAATACTTTTTGGACGTTGTATTGCCCTGCATTGCCATATTACTACCATTACATGCCCTCTGCTGACCGTGTTATTATCTATATGTGTATTTATATATTTTTTTCTTCATGATGCCAGTTTTATTTTATTTTCTATTTAATTTATTCTATTCGTACTTGCCTTTTTGCACAATCCAGATCTACCACACCTTCATTTTACTGTCTACTGACACTGTCTGCAATGTCATGTGACAAATAAAGACTCTTGATTATTCTGAAGTATCAGGGCAAAAGAATTGACTTTAAGTGATGCCACTAGCTGTGTTTGGCTGCTGCTGTCACTTAATATTATAAGAAGTATTTGTGTACGGCTACTGTGGTTCTATCTACTCCAATATATTTGCCTTATATTTTCAATTTTAGTCAATGTTTCAGTCACTTGCATAATCATCTTACAAATATACATTAATATATTATTTCAACTATATTAAACCAAACCTAAACAAAGTTATACTTACGTTATTATTTAGGTTTTTATAAACCTTTGTTACAAGAAAATGTAAATCTACAGTAATAAGCATCGTTTAGGTAAATTTGATAAAATACGTGTCAAATGCTGTTGTTCATATATTTCATTGGTTCTTAAAAGAGAACTAAACGGTTTATACTTAGCTTAACTTTAATTTTGGGTACATTCAACACACACGCCCCCTTTCAGCCATCTAATTTATCATCTAAAATGCTAGCAGATTAGCATGGAAAGCTAACTCAATAACTTGATTAGTTCTGCAAAACTGTCTGGTCAAACGGAAAGTATCACACACCTACCTTGTCCGTGGGTTTTACATGAAAATAATAAACGCTACTGTGTTAAATTTGCACTTCCAAAGTAACTCTTTCATTATGAACTGACAAGAAAGTGAGTGTTCATAGTCAACAACTGCTAGCTTTTAGCACCGCTCCGTGTGGACTGAAGTTAGGACGGCGCTAATACTGTATACCTCCGCTGCGGTCTGGTACTGCAATGACCGAGGCGGAGGGATATGTGCTTAATATATCATAAGCTTTTAAACTTATACAAGTAAATACCGCCCCAAATTAATCATTACAGTCGTAGCTATGATACATTTATCGTTACAGATGTAACGTAATCAAATTCCAAAATAAACGTTTGGTTTATATTGAAATTTCGACGTTTTTAACTTGAACCTATGAGCTAAGGTGTATATGCTATATTTAAACTCGCCACAGTGAACAGTTTGACTGGAACTAACACTTGGAATTTGAAATAACAAACAAACGTGTGTTAATATGAACGAAATATTATTACATATCATCTATGGCTCTATAACTTCCCAACTTGAAACGAGGTACCGCTAAAACATCGCAGAGAAAATAGGTCCGCAGCCTACTGTAGCTAATTGTAGTTGACGTAGTTGTTTTATATGTTATTTTGCTAATAAAGATTCAACAACGCTGGTTAACAACCACTAACAGAAACTAATCAGTGCAAATGAACAGTTTTTGGAACAGTTTGCTTATGACTTGGAGCCCTAATAGTAACAGTGGCTAGCTCCGCATGGCTAACTCTGTCTTAGCATTATTGTGATCCCCTCCTCTGCTACTTCTGCTTCTAAAATGTTATTTGCTTAAATTTGAGTCAAAGTGTTGGTTTTGGTACTGCTGTCTTACAGCACGTAAAGAAAAAGTTACTTAAACGACTTACATTTAGATTTTCCCACAATAATGTATTAGATTAGATCCAACTTTGGATTTCCTAAATGTTGGATCATGTAAGCTAACACGTATAAACACTGTATTCATCTAAATTAAACCACTCCAAGTAACTAATGCTGTTATCGTTGAATATTAAATGAGATATTAACTATATATATAAAAAAACAACTCCAGCACAGCTTCATTGTTTGCCTATGAACATGCAACGATTATGATAATGTTAGCTTCTTTTGGTTAGCTTTCAGTTCAAATAAATCGACACCAAAACAAAATTAGATTTGAGTTTGTGTTCACTGTGGCCAATGACATTGTTACAAATTATTAATTTAAGTTTGTTGTTAGTTTGCAATGCAACATATTCTGTTAAATATATTTATATTCAGACTTATTAAAATAATAAAAAGTTGAAGTACACAACTTGCACATGTAAATATGTTACAACTTCTACAACATTTAGGTCCTGATCCTTAAAAAAGGACTAAAATTACTAACCCGTAAATGAGTCCTTGAAATACCACTTTTAATGCAAAACTACTATTAATGCAAGAACTTTTACTTAACGTTACAACCACTTGTACCACATTATTATTAATATAATTATTATTATTATTATGTCAAATCTAAGAACTTATTATTATAATTATTATAATTATTATGTAAAATCTAAGTTCAGGTCAATATTAAACCGAAAAAGCAGTAACGCAGAAGACTTGCGCTTGCCGTAATGACGTCACAGACCCGGAAGGAAGTGCTCTGTTTGTTGTCAATGTAGCTTCCATTTTTTTCTGGTCTGTCAGTAACAGAACCATTGATCTCAACCAACTCAACTGTATTGGACCGAAACAGAGTGGTAGAATATCGCGACCTTTACCGGTCTGAAGGGGGGTAGTCTTCATAGGACCCCGGCGGTCTGTGTTGGACCGTGAATGGTTCTAGTGGCCTGTAACGAACTGTACAAAACACTGCAGACTTCGATAGACAAAAGTCGCCACAATGAACGTGACGCTGGCAGTAAAACAGTACATCTCTAAGATGGTGGAGAGCAGCGGAGCCGGGATGAAGGTTCTGCTGATGGACAAAGAGACGGTGAGAACCTAAAGCCAGTTCCGATTAAAAAAAAAGGCATATCGTACGTTTAGATGCGATCAAAATGGTTTCCAGCCCAGCAAGGTTAACGTCGGAGTTATTTTGAAGAGGCTCTTCGTTTAGCTCGATTAAAACAACAAATAAAAGAGAGCTATAAATGTAGTATAATGTTTTAAAAAATAGTCAAAAGCCTGTAAATAAAGAGCCACACAGCATAAGTAACTAGTGTAATGTGTGTGTGTGTGTGACAGACCAGCATCGTGAGTGTGGTCTACACCCAGTCTGAGATCCTGCAGAAGGAGGTCTACCTGTTTGAGCGGATCGACTCTCAGAGCAGAGACACCATGAAGCACCTGAAGGCCATCTGCTTTCTCAGACCCACCAAGGTTCCTCAGCTTACATCTGTCCATGACATCATCATCATCATCATCACACCTGGGGTACACCTGAGACCAGGTTTGTGACGTTTCTTTTCTGTTCCTCTCTGCAGGAGAACGTGGAACATCTGATTCAGGAGCTGCGGAAACCAAAGTATGGCGTTTACTTCATCTGTGAGTTCCTGCTCTGAGATTTCACAGCTTTAGACCTGAAAACACCACCACCGTCACTGGAGACGCATAGTAGACATACGTCAGTGTGACATCACTTCCTGTGGTCAGCAGAGGCTGCACACAGCCATTCAGAACGCTGTCGAAGAAGTTGGTGATTTTAGTTTCCTGCAGCGTCTGCTCTGTACCCTGGTGGTCATCGTCAGAAGAAAAATCATGGAAGTCAGTGTTTCAGATTTCATGTTAAATAGAGAGTGTGTGTGTGTGTGTGTGTGTTTCAGACTTCAGTAATGTGATCAGTAAGAGTGAGATCAAAGCTCTGGCTGAAGCAGACGAACAGGAAGTGGTGGCTGAAGTTCAGGTGAGTCTCAGATGTGACTGAGACAAACAGGAATTTGGCACTCATCAGTCTACAGACCACAGACGACAGACCACAGACGACAGTCTACAGACCACAGACGACAGTCTACAGATGACAGACTACAGTCTACAGACGACAGACCACAGACTACAGTCTACAGACGACAGACGACAGAAGACAGACCACAGATGACAGTCTACAGACCACAGATGACAGACCACAGACTACAGACGACAGACTACAGACCACAGATGACAGCCCACAGATGACAGACTCCAGTCTACAGATGACAGACCACAGACTACAGTCTACAGACTATGGTCTATAGACTACAGCGTGTCAGACTTTCCCAACAGGAAACTGACATTTGTGGTATGTCCGTAGAGAGCCACTGGTCCACTACCGCCCCCTATGGTCAGGGTTGACTGACTACTAGCACTGTCCTGGGAGTGAGTGAGCGGTTTGAAAACACTGTTTGTGTCTCTGCAGGAGTTTTATGGAGACTTCATCGCCCTCAATCCTCACCTGTTCTCCCTGAACCTTGTGGGCGTGGCCCGGGTGAGAACCATGTGATTCCCAGTCACGCCACCGTGGTGTTGTGTGTTTGCGCTGACGTGGTGTGTTTGCGTGTGTTAGGGCCGCAGCTGGGAGCCCTCCATGTTGTCTCGCTGCACTCAGGGTTTGACGTCCGTCCTCCTGGCCCTGAAGAAGTGCCCGATGATCCGTTACCAGCTGTCCTCGGACATGTCCAAACGTCTGGCTGAGAGCGTGAAGGTTTGTCCAACCGCTCAAGTGAGTAAGTACTGCCGTTACTGCAGTAACTTCACCGACGGCGTGTATTCTCCTCACAGCAAATCATCACAAAGGAGTACGAGCTCTTTGACTTCAGGAAGACGGAGGTTCCTCCTCTGCTCCTCATCCTGGACCGCAGTGACGACGCCATCACACCCCTGCTCAACCAGGTGACCAGTCACAGCCAACAGGAAGGGACACGTTAGCCGTGGTGGTGATGATGTAATTGTGATGTTTGCTCCTGGTCTCCAGTGGACCTACCAGGCCATGGTCCACGAGCTGCTGGGTCTGAACAACAACAGGATCGATCTGTCCAGGGTCCCAGGGATCAACAAAGACCTGCGAGAGGTGGTCCTGTCAGCTGACAACGATGAGTTCTACGCCAACGTGAGTCGGTCCGGACCATCTGCTCCTGGTCCAGGTTTCAGACCGGAGCTCAGACCCAGACTTTGACCTGCGCTCTAGTTTCTGGCATTAGACCCAGTCCTGGTGCTGGTGCCAGTCTCAGTTTCACTGCTGCTTGTGGTCTAAGACCTGGTCCTGGTCTTTGTGGTCCCTTTCCAGAACATGTACCTGAACTTTGGAGAGATTGGCACCAACATCAAGAACCTCATGGAGGACTTCCAGAAGAAGAAACCTAAAGGTCAACAAAAGCTGGAGTCCATCAATGACATGAAGGTGAGCGCTGCCCCCTGCTGGACCACAGCAGCTAATGACTGTACTGTCTAATGGTTTTTGTTGTTCTCTGCAGGCCTTTGTGGACAACTACCCCCAGTTCAAGAAGATGTCGGGCACCGTGTCCAAACATGTGACGGTGGTCGGGGAGCTGTCGCGGCTGGTGTCGGAGCGGCAGCTAATGGAAGTGTCGGAGGCCGAGCAGGAGCTGGCGTGTCAAAACGACCACTCCAGTGCTCAGCAGGTGATGACATCACATGTTCTTAGACCAGTGTTGAACAGGTTTCTATAGAAGCTTCTAGATGGTTTTTTAAAGTTGAACCTCCCTCTGGTGTGATGTCACTCTCTTCTTCCACCACTGATTGGACTGTTTTTCTGTCCTTTTCTCCCAGAACGTCCGTCGTCTCCTGCAGAACCCTCGTCTGTCGGAGTTGGACGCCGTCCGTCTGGTGATGCTCTACGCTCTGAGGTACGAGCGTCACAGCAACAGCATCCTGCCGTCGCTGATGGACGAGCTGAGTCGCAGGGGCGTGTCCGAACGCCACCGCAAGGTAAACCCACTTTGACTGGGTGCTCGGATGTGGCGTGGTGATGTCATGACTTGTTCTACCCCGTGACTCCTCCCCCTGTCGGTCTGACAGATGGTTCAGTCTGTGGTGGAGTACGGAGGGAAGAGGGTGAGAGGAAGTGACCTCATCACACCCACGGACGCCGTGGCCATCACCAAGCAGTTCTTCAAAGGACTGAAGGTGAAGGAGAAAATCACCGGCTGTCATCATCACACACACACACACACACACACACAGAGTAACATGGGTGTGTGTGTTTCAGGGCGTGGAGAACGTCTACACTCAGCACCAGCCGCG